AGTTTCCCCGTGTTGGCCAGGCTGGTCTCAAACTCCTGACCTCAGGTGATCCACCCGCCTCGACCTCCCAAAGTGCTAGGATTACAGATGTGAGCCACCGTGCCCAGTCAACTTTAGTCATTTTTATTGCAGCATGGTGACCATCCTGTACCTATAAACACTAATAATAATCTTAAAATAACGTTAGATGATCATAATGTTGGTTAGAATAATAAAGAATGACTGCCTACTGGAACTGTGGTAAAGTGTGAACTAATGTAGAACGTTATAATATAGTTGTACGTTAACGTCACTCCTGAATAAAAGTCATTACATTTATATTAATCTAATGTGTAATAATTAAAAGTAGAATTATATGTTTAAAATTATATGATTATATCAAATGATGTAATCCATGGTTTTTCCATAAAGTTATCTTTCCTGAACATTCTATAATTCATTATAGATGAATTAGCAAAGTCTTCTTATATCTTCTCTTAGGATATAAGAGAAGTATTCATTAGCAAAGTCTTCTTATATCTTCTCTTAGGATAAAGCAAGAGAAGGGTTATACTAAAATAACATAGCCTCAATAAAAGCAGGAAATAATGGGAACCAAGATTAAGGAATTAAACAGTCTATCCCATAAAATATTAACTATTTTAAAGCAGAGTCTTGTATCAAAGGTTGACTTTGAGTCCTCTATTGATCTCTGAGGCCCTCTGCATACTTTGACTGGACAGTTGACCTTATCACATTGTTAGGGTAAGTGCTACACAAAGGCATCTTCTAGACCCTCCATAGCTCATAGGTGGCCCCTGCAAACCCCTTGCCTGTGTGTGTTCTGGAGGTGCCACTAAACTCGGTAACAGCATCAGGAGGCACAATTGGAAAATCTTTTTACTCGGGTTTAATTATTGGCTAACTTTCAATTATTTTTAGGTTACCAGAAATATCCTTACCTGTAAAGAGGTACAGATTTTACTCTCCGATCAACAGCTATAACTGTCATATTATGAGATTCCAGGGGCTTCTGCTCCTTGAGGCATCCACAGAATCATAGCATTTTCTGGTATTCAAAGACCTGAAAGATCACAGTGCTTTCATTTCAACTGTGAGACGTTAAGTAATTTTCCCAAACCTACAACACTAAGTGATGGTGTAATAAAGGCCAGATTAAAAATCACTTGATATGCAATCATGTTCCCTCCACCCACTTTAGTCCCAAACACACTCACACACACTTGTCCAAACAGCTCCATCTTCAAGGGAGAGATGAATGCTTCTACAAGCCTCAAACTTGTGAACACAGACTGACCAGCACAAAGCTGGCTCACAATAGGAGCCAAATTAAAGTGTTTCACATGCAACTGGATCAAACTTTAAAGTCTAAATTAAAGCAATCCTTTCATGAAGGAAATTTTGTTTCAGAAGAGGATCTTCAATTAGCAGGGTGTTGTTGCGCACACCTGTAGTCCCAGCTACTGGAGAGGCTGAAGTGTATGGATCACTTAAGCCTGGGAGGTAAAGGCTGCAATAAGCCCTGATCATGCCACTGTACTCCAGCCTGAGTGATAGAGTGAAACCCTGTCTCAATAAATAAATAAATAAATAAATAAATAAATAAATAAATAAACCTCATACTGCATCTCATCTCAGACCGGCTATTCACCACTGAGGCTGATTACTTCTTCAACACTAAGATTACCCAATCCAGGAGCAAAGAAATGAGTAACTTGATTCCTATGATTTGGAATGTGGGTGGAGGAACGTAAGTCATAGTTCTCTCTGAGTGAGACTTGCCTGCTCCTCTGGCACCTGGTCCTGTCCTGTTCTCCAGCACGGTGTGTCTGAGGCTCCCTGGAGGCTCCTGCATGGCAGCGCTGACAGTGACACTGATGGTGCTGAGCCCTCACCTGGCTTTGGCTGGGGATATGCAGGGTAAGTGCACACTGTGGGTGCTGAGCTACAATAGGGTGGGGGAGAAAGGGAGTTAACTTTGTCACTGTGCCCAGGCTATACATCTTAAAAAATTGTGACATTTTCTTCAAGGACCACCCGTCTTTATCATAAGAATTCCCAATTATTTCCGTAACAAAAGAAGGCTGGCTACTTGCCCTCTGCATAAGATCTGCATCAGGGGCCTCCATATGGACCATTCCTTCTCAGATCTCCTACAACAAAACCCCTCCAGCTTTGCATCACATTTTCTTGGGATCTTCAGAGGATTTATAAATAAAAACACTAAAATGAATTCCCCCATACAGCACTTCCCTTTATTATGTTGAATTTTGCTGTAAAAAAAAAAAATTCTCAGCTGGGCGTAGTGGCTCACGCCTGTAATCCCAGCACTTTGGGAGGCCGAGGCCTTTTCTGTGCAGATCACAAGGTCAAGAGATTGAGACCAGCCTGGCCAACCTGGTGAAACCCCGTCTCTACTAAAAATACAAAAATTAGCTGGGCGTAGTGACACGTGCCTGTAGTCCCAGCTACTCAGGAGGCTGAGGCACAAGAATCCCTTGAACCCGGGAGGCGGAGGTTGCAGTGAGCCAAGATGGCGCCACTGCACTGCAGCCTGGCAACAGAGTGAGACTTCGTCAAAAAACAAACAAACAAACAAACAAACAAAAATCTCACGGGGAGTCAAAAGGAATTTGAAGGGTCTTTCCTAGAGAATCTTGTGTCATGTCCTCAACAGGATCTGAGGTTCGTGTGAGGATGCACCAAGAAGCCACCCTGTTATCTTCTTTTTTCTCCCTTAACTCCAATGTTTGTAAACTCTTTATCTTTGTACTGTAGATTTCTGACAAAAGTTGAGATTAGTACCCTCTCTTTCTCTTGGGAAAAACACATTGGAGTTGAAGTAGAGACCCTTAGTACTTGGAATGATCCTATAGATAAGGAGCATCTATGGAGTATTGTTCAGCACCTTAAAGAACTTAAGGTATCCTCTGAAATGCCACTAATGCTACTAACCTAGCTTGAATCTTTCTAGGTTAGTTTCTCCTACATTCTCTGGCTTGAGCTTATAAGAAGGGATTCAACTAATGTAGGATAAATTATGTAAAATTCTATTTTTATAAGTCAAAATCATCAAATATCAGCAAATTCATATGGTTCAAACCATATAACTTCAGTGGGGTTACAGATAGATTGTAAAGGTTGCTAAAATCCCATAGGGCTGAAAGCCAACGAGCAAGTCAAGGGGACTCATTGTCCTACTGGGAATATATCCCAATTTTTAGAGCTGGATTCAGCATGCTCTCTGCTTTCCTTAATTATTCATGTCTGCTTACCTCTACCTCAAGTTCCTCTCTGTTTTTTACTTAATTATGTCATCTTCATTTCCGAAAATCCCTAAAGCTTGCCCAGACATTCGGCACTATGAGACCCATCAAAAGAGATCATTCTTAATGCAAATTTTTCTCTTTCTTACAATCACTTTATCTGTGATTCCTTCTTCCAACTAGAAAGAGGAGAGAAAGGAAGTATGCCTGAATTCCTCACAGGGAGGAGAAGGGATACAGCATGTCATTAGAATGAAAGGATGCAGGAGCTTGAGCCCTTTTCTACTTTCTAGAATACCCAGAATTATCAGTTCCCGGAACCCCGGTCTATTCATTTCGACCACAGGTATATTTCTGAGCAACTGTTACATTCTGGGCTCTGTTCTAGGCTCAGAGAATTCTACTTGAATAAGATAGAAAAGGTCCCTCTCACAGAACTCAATGCCAGAGGAGACAGACAATATCCCAGTAAATATTTAACAAAAAAGAAAAAGTCAGACAGCAATATTGCCTTTTAAAAAAAGACATCAGGGTGATAGGGAAGAGAGATTTGGATTCACCCAACTTCACTTCACATTGGATTCACAAGTAGTGAATCTATCACAAAGGGAGATAGATTTTGTGTAGAAAAAATATGAGGGCCACAGGACAGCATAAGGGACTGAGAAGATTTCACCACATTTAGCTAAGACAAGAATAATAAGACAGCCATGTGAAGATCTAAGGGACAAGTGTTCCAGAGAGACAGAAAAGGGAAAAGACCAAGGAATGGGAAGATGTGTGTCGTGCTGAAGAGACAAAAAAAAGGCCAGAGGGGCTGAAGGATGAAAAGCAAGGGGTGGAGTGACAGAAGATGAGGAAGAGGGACAGAAAGTCAGGAGCTGCATCATATTCGGCCTTGGTGGCCATGGTAAGGGATTACATTTTATTTAAACATATTGGAAGCTCCTGGGGGATTACAAGGAGAGTCCATTTGTATTCAATTTTAAAAATAATTCTAGCTACTATCTGGGGGTTGGATTGTTGGGGTTCACAAGTGGAGAACAGCAGAATTCTCCAGGGAAGACAGAGTTGTGGATTCATGTAGTGCAGTTGTGCCAAAGACGGAGATAAAGATAAAGTGAATAGACTTGGGATGTGTTTTTGCATGACTTGTTAATGGATTAAATGTAAACTTATTTCTAACTATTTTTCGTTGATAAATGGGTGGGTGGTGGTGCTGTTTATTGAAATAGGGAAGAATGTGGGAGGAAATGATTTGAAGTGGGTGATTAGAAATGACAATTGTGTTTATTAAAATTGAGATGATTTTTGAAATCACATGAAGCAATCAGGAAGTCAACTGAATATAAGAGAGGAGTTCATGGTGAAGCCAGGACTGGAGGTGTTTATATTGGGGTTCTGTGTTAAATTCCAGGGAAGTGGAAGAAGTTGCAGAGGGAGATAGATTTTGTGTAGAAAAAATATGAGGGCCACAGGACAGCATAAGGGACTGAGAAGATTCACCACAGATGCTGGAGGAAAAAAAAAAGAGAGAGAGAGAACGTGATGCATGGAAATCAAAGAAAAATGATTTTTTCAAGGCGAGGGAGTGGCCAGTTGTGGTGAGAACCACTAACAGGTGAGTAAAGTGAGAACGTGACAGAGAAGCAAGTGCTGGGTTTGGTGGAGTTGATGTTTGCAGTCAATGGAGTATCCAGGATAGAAAGTGGATTGGACCATTTGAAGAACGGGTGGAAGAAGTGAAGCCTGGAAGTGAAGTCTGACTCTTTTGAGTAGCGAGCCTCAAGGAAAGACTATGCTCTGGGATCAGGCAGCCAGCAGTACCTAAAGAAAATTAATAAGGAAGCTGGAGAGAAGCAGGATGACCTGGGAACCAGAGACAGATGCTCAGTCGCTGGCAATGAAGCACTAGAAGGCCCCTGTGTACAGTGGTGACTGGTTATGCAAAAGGCCATTCGTTCATACAGCCAATATTTATCAGTGACTTAGAATATACTAGTTATTACTCTAGGTGATGAGAATGGAGTGATAAACAAAGCAAATCTGGTCTGTATCAGCGTGGAGCATTGTAACATTTTGCAGTGACTAATTATCAGGCTTATAAATTTTGGTATGGATATGTAATACCTATCCTATCATAGCTTTGGTATTTAAAAGTATATACATCTTTTGAATCTAAAATTCAAAAAGTGTAAGTAACTTACCCGCTGTCACAAAGTCAGTGCTAGAAATCAGATTGCAGTTTAAATCTGAGTACATAGAAAGTCCCTCTCTTTGATGTCAGCACTCTACTTTTGTGTGAAGTTTAGGCATATGAATTATTATACATAAACCAATGTTTCTGCCCTCAAGTGTTTAAAATGGTAATTAGTGATAAATTAATAAAGGACCATTGCCAGATCATGATGTAGACATTATTTGCTTTAGAAGTTAAGGAATAGAAAAATAATGAAGATTTCCTTTACAGGGATTGTAAAAATAGAATGGTAATATATTAGAGTGATTATTATGTTATCAGCACTAAGAAGAGTCACTACTTACTTTTACCCTTAACAATAATCCTATGAAGAATATATTATTGTTGGATTCATTTTATATAATTTTTAAAGGTTCATGGTTGTTAAAATTAATCCAAGTAGAAGAGATCATGCTTAAATTCAGATTTCCTGATTCTAGAGCCTGAGCTTACAACCACCGTTAGTGAATAGTGACTAGACTGAGTCTGAATTACTGATAGAATTTCTTATGTTCATATGTACTGGGTGTGTCTCAGGGTAGGGAAGAGGTGCAAGGTCTGCTAGTCCCAATGTAAAGAAGAAACTTTCATTAATTTTGCATTTATCGTTTGAAAACTTCCATATGTGCAGGCTGTCATAGGCATGTGTTAAAGAACACAAAGAAGTATTAAATTCACTCCTTCTGAGCATTATTAGCAAGTTGGGCTAAGGTTGCCAAATAAAGTACAGGGTACCCAGTTAAATCTGAACTTCAGATAAGCAACAATAATTTATTTGAAATCCAAATTTAACTAGGCATTCTCTATTTTCATTTGCTAAATGTGGCAATCTAAGCTGGACACAGCATAGACTGAAGTGCTAACCACGCAAGCTACAGTGAGGGTAACTTTATATGTTTTTATTTTTCAATGTTCTTATCTGTGAAGAAGGTGCTCAGAGAATTTAGGAATAATAAGATAGACCTTATCTCATCCAACGTGTTCTCCTCCCTGCTGTCATTTCTAAAGGGTGAAGGGAGCTTGTGAAGCGCTCTACTCAAAATCTGGGGACTTGCTCGTTTTTTGTAAACTATCTATAAGAGAATGCCATCTTCTTAGTTTCTCCCTGTATTAGTCCGTTTTCAGGCTGCTGATAAAGATATACTCAAGACTGGATAATTTATAAGGAAGAAGAACTTTAATGGATTCACAGTTCCATGTGGCTGGGGAGGCCTCACATCACAGTGGAAGGTGAAAGGCACGTCTCACACGATGGCAGACAAGAGAAGAATGACGGTCAAGCAAAAGGGTTTTTCCCCTTATAAAACCAGATCTCGTAAGACTTATTCACTATCATGAGAACAGCATGGGGAAAGACCTGCCCCCACGTCTCGATTATCTCCCCCAGGTCCCACAACACGTGGGAACTGTGGGAGCTACAATTCGAGACAGGATTTGAGTGGTTACACCGCCAAACCATATCACTCCCCTTCAGAGGAGACTTAACTACAGAAATGAGAATTCTGCACCTGTCCAAGGTTGGTAATTTGATGCGTGCTTGTATTGTTGTGAGTAGGAGACTGAAAGTTAGAAAATGAATTAGCTGAGGCAGTGAGTAGTGGACCAGTGACACAGAAATTAAGAATATGACTTGGTGACTGATTGGCAAGGCAAATAAATCAGTAAAACTTGGTTCTGAATGAATGAATTTTACTGGAAAAATAGCTCTGCACTGGGACCAGATTCCTAAAAATCCTGTTTTATGTGGGACCAAGATTTTAAATAGATAGAATATTGGCAGAGTTTTCAATGTACATCTCAAATGTTCCATAATTAATAGCAGCTTTTTAATCATAGATTTATCAGATGGTTTACACTAGTGGGTCTCACCCAGGGATAGTTCACCATCCCTCTGTCCCTCCCTGCCCTCTCACAACTCCCTAGGGAACATTTGGCAATGTCTGGAGCCATTTGTGGTTGTCACACCAGGAGTTTCTTCTGACGTGTAACAAGTAGAAGCCAGGGACACTAGTAGACAGCTCCTCTCATCAAGAAAATATTATCTATTCCAAAATGTCAATGGTGCCAAGGCTGAGAACACTGGTTTACATTGTGTTTCTTCTATAAACTCTAGACTCACAGTTTTTAAACACATTTATCTCCTAATTCAGCTCTTCATGGCTTAGTTTTGCTTGTTTCATTACCAAAAAAAACAACAGTTGCATAAATTCACTGCTTTCTTGGTGAATCCATTTAATCAATGCAGGTTCAAGATCTTCATTTTTACTTTTTGCATATTATGCACTTTATTTCAAAAGGTTCACTGTGTTCTTGATAATTACTATCGCTATTAACTTTCAAAAACTGGTCATTATAAGTCACGAATGGTGATGACTGTCACAAATATTTCTCAGTAAAATGCCTCAGATTTCTGCAGTAATTCTACCTTTTATACTTTTTATAATGTAAGATGCTTCTATTCATTGTGGTACATATACACCATGGAATATTATGCAGCCATAAAGAGGAATGAGATCATGTCCTTTGCAGGGACATGGATGAAGCTGGAAGCCATTATCCTCAACAAATTAACGCAGGAACAGGAAACCAAACACTGCATGTTCTCACATATAAATGGGAGCTAAACAATGAGAACACGTGGACACAGTGAGGAGAGCAACACTTACTGGGGTCTGTTAGGGGAGGGCAGAGCGGGGGTGAGCATTAGGGAAAAGAGCTAATGCATGCTGGGCTTAATACCTAGGTGATAAGTTGATAGGTGCAGCAAACCACCAAGACACACGTTTACCTATGTAACAAACCCGTACATCCTGCACATGTACTCAGAACTTGAAAAACACAGTAAAATAATTATTTAAAGAATACTTTCTACTCATCTCATTTTTACTAAACACAAAGATTTTTCTTTTTTTTTCTAGATAACAAGTTTTATAAACATCACATATCTTCAACATTTTAAATATTCTCAATGGATACATTTCACATAATATAACACAGTTCCACTTTTTAAAAAAAATAGCAAAATAAACATAATCTCACTTTTTCTTGATGATTCGGGATCATTATTATCAATGTCAATTTGGAACACGATAATATCCTTAAGGTATAGTAATAAATGTAAGGCTGTTTGCCTTTATCCTAAGTGAATTTGGATTGTTTTTATGATTCTCTGCTTTTCATTTTCTCTGCCAGGTTCTTTTACTTACTGACATTTCTTTGTTATTGTAATCAGTGTGTTCTGATGGTTATTTTCCAGAAAAGTCTTTAGGTGAAGGCCTGTGAATGGTTACATTCTGCTAAAGAGCTAAGTGTATGGGTGCATGGGCTTTCTGACTGTCATTTGCTAGTCAGAGGACCTTTTCTTCCCTCATTATTTCTTTCTTAAATTATTATTATTTTACTTTAAGTTCTAGGGTACATGTGCGCAACATGCAGGTTTGTTACATAGGTATACATGTGCCAAAAAAGTTTGTGGTTCTGTGTTGGGGTCATGGACTCTTCAATTGTTTCCCATTACATTTAGTATAGATCAAAATTCTAACATGACAAAGATTTTAATTGTTCCCTTCTTGTGATTTCTCCAGTTTAATCTTCTCTTCTCTTCCTTCTCTTCCCTTCTCTTCTCTTCTTTATCTTCTCTTCTCCTTTTCTTTTCTTTTTTCTTTTCTTTTCAGAGAGAGTCTCGCTCTGTCACCCAGACTGGAGTGCAATGGCACGATCTCGGCTCACTGCAACCTCTGCCTCCCAGGTTCAAGTTACTCTTCTGCCTCAGCCTTCTGAGTAGCTGTAACTACAGGCACGCGCCACCACCCCCGTGCCACCACGCCTGGTTAATTTTTGTATTTTTAGTAGAGATGCGGTTTCACCATATTGACCAGGCTGGTCTCAAACCCCTGATCTTGTGATCTGCCTGCCTCGGCCTCCCAAAGTGCTGGGATTACAGGTGTGAGCCACTGTGCCCGGCCCAGTTTAATCTTTTCCCCTCCTTTCCCTGATGCTGTGCTTTAGTGAACTTTCTTCTGGTTTCTTGAAGAAGTTCCATCAGTTCTTTCAAGCTTTTGTGCATGGTTTTATGAGTACCTGAAATGTGCCTGCCTTTTTGTCCGGAGACACACAGGCTCCACTCTGCCCCCTGGCTCACACCCACTAAACCTGTAAGGTCACATGTGAATTGTCACTCTCAGAGTCCTTCTCTGAGAGTGATTTAGATCATCCTATTCTTTGTTCTAGAACTCCACACTTCTCTTAACATTTCTCATTCCTGTATAAGGTGTTGTGTATTTCGTTTTTTGCCATCACTTTCACTACTCTTTAAGCTCCCCCAGCGGAGGGGAGAGGTCTGTCTTTCCTCTGTTTGGATTCCCAGGAGCACTAAGGGAAGCATTTACAGAATGGAGGACACAAGGTCAGCACTAAGGAAGCATTTACAGAATGGAGGAGGTGGGTCTTGTTTAAGGAATGAGTAGAGTGTGGCATGATAAGAGGGAGCAGGAAGTGTCTTTTGGGTGGAGGCTCCCAGGAGGAGGAAGTGCAAGTGGCAGCGATGAGGCAGATGATCCTGGTCCAGAGCCTTGCAAAGAGGCGTCCAGCTCAACTCGGCAATAGGGAACGAATCCCGAACGGTATTCCATGGCCCTCGCAGCCTCCCTCCGCCTCAGGCAGATGGGAGATGAACCCCTGGGATGCTGGTGGTCGGGGTTGGCAGGTGGGGGCCAGTCAAGGTGTTCCATCGCCCCGCGCCCTGCCGAGAGCGTCCCTGATTGTGGGCATAGCCGTCACTCTTTTCCCAGGATGCCGCCCATGTAACCGGTTCTTCTTGTCCCCGCAGCACATTTCTTGGAGCAGATTAAACATGAGTGCTGTTTCTCCAACGCGATGGAGAGGATGCGGTTTGTGCAGAGACTCATGCATACCCCGAGGGGTATGCGCGCTTCCACAGCGACTTGGGAAAGTTCCAGGCGGTGGCGGAGCTGGAGTGGAGGAGAGTCCAGGAATGGAAACAGCCAGAAGAATCTCCTGGGCTACTTGCGGGGTCTGTTGGACACCTACTGCAGACACAACTATGGGGTTTTGCTCACCGCAGAGGCGCGGTGAGCAAGGCGCGTGGGGGAGGGAGAGCAGGGTTCCTGAGAACGAAGAGGGAGGAAGGAGAGAGAGAGAGAGAGAGAGAGAGAGAGAGACAGAGAGAGAGACAGAGAGAGACAGAGAGAGAGAGAGTGCGCGCGCGCGCACGTAAGCACCCTGTGGGAGAGTATAGGATTGTGAGCAAGAAGGAATTAGGAGGGCTGAGGTAGGTGAGTGCAGAGTGGGGATTTGTCTGTGTCTGTTTTCGGAGGGGACGCAGGAGGGAGCTTCAGCTCGTCCTTCCAGCCCGCTGTGCAGAAATGAGAGGAGGGTGGGAGTGGTGATGCAGGGGCCTGGAGAGGGAGATCTTGATCGCCCTCGGTCCTTAGAGATGCAGGAAAGGGAAATTTACCTAGTCTGCTGTTGGCATGAAAGTTTAGGGGAGGAGAGATGAGAAGTGATAATGTGAGGGATAATGTAAGGAGGCTAGTCACAAACTGTCCTTGGTACACACCCTTTATGATCCCGAAATCTCTGAAATAAAAGTGTGTGATACTTGTCTGCATAAGCATTTTACTGAGAAAAAGTATTAGACTAATTTCTTTCTTTCTAATTTTAAGTGTTATTTTAGTTTTAGGGATACGTGTGCAGGTTTGTTCTATAGGCAAACTGCATGTCAGGTGGGTTTGATGTACAGATAATGTCATCACCAGGGTAATAAGCATAGTACCTCCCAGGTATTTTTCCTGATCCTCTCCCTCCTCCCATCCTTCACCCTCAAGTAGGTCCCCGTGTCTACTGTTCCCTTCTTTGTATCCACGTGTTCTCAATGTTTAGCTTCCACTTATAAAGTGAGAGCATGTGGTATTTGGTCTGTTGTCCCTGTGTTAGTTTGCGTAAGATAATGGCCTCCAGCTCCATCCGTGTTCCTGCAAAGGACGTGATCTCATTCTTTTTGTGGCTCCATACTATTCCATGGTGTATTTGTACCACATTTCCTTTAACCAGTCGACTGCTGATGGGCATCTAGGTTGATTCAGTGTCTTTGCTATTGTGAACAGTTCTGCAATGAACATATGTGTGCATGTGTCTTTCTGGTAGAATGGTTTATATTCCTTTAGGTATATACACAGTAATGGGATTGCTGAGTCAAACGGTAATTCTCTTTTTAGTTCTTTGCACCACATTGCTTTCCACAATGGCTGAGCTAATTTACATTCCTACTAGCAGTGTATAAGCATTCTCTTTCCTCTGCAACCTCACCGGCATCTGTTATTTTCTGACTTTTTAGTAATAGCCATTCACACTGGTGTGAGATGGTATCCCATTGTGATTTTGATTTGCGTATCTCTAATAATTAGTGCTGTTGAGAATTTTTTTCTGTGTTTGTTGGCTGCATGTATGTCTTCTTTTGAAAAGTGTCTGTTCATGTCTGTTCATGCCCATATTTTAATGAGGTCGTTTGTTTGTTTTTTTCTTGTAAATTTGTTTAAGTTGCTTATAGATTCTGGATATTAGACCTTTGTCAGATGCATAGTCTGCAAATATTTTCTGTCGCAGGCAAGCAATAACTATCAGGGCCAGTGGTGCCAGAGTAAAAAAATTTACCAAGATAGTTGTAGGTAGAAAAAAGCAGATTTACTAGAGAAGGTAGGAAAATACGTTGCAAGGAGGCAACAGGCAGGCCAGCAGAAGAGAAGATGACTGCACAGAAACAAAGGCTTGCAGGAGATTTTATAGGATGGTTCTTAGGCTGCAGAGTGCTACGTGCAGTAGCAATAATGCCAAGGTTGCAGTGAGCTAGCTTACAGATGTCTGATGATAATTGAGTACAGGAAAACTGAATTATTTGCACAGGAGGGCTGTGTGTCCTGGACCATGAAGAAAGACAGACTTATAGCTTATTTGCTTTACCTTTTTGCTTTCTTCTGGTCCCGCCAGCCTGACTCCTTTTCCCAAATCAGGACTTGACATTTTCTCCATTCTCTAGGTTGTCTGTTTACTCTATTGATAGTTTCTTTTACTGCGCAGAATCTCTTAAGTTAAATTAGGTCCCATTTGTCAATTTTTGTTTTTGTTGTGGTTGCTTTTTGTGTCTTTGCCATAGTCTTTGCCAAGTCCTATGTTCAGAATGGTATATTCTAGGTTACTTTCCAGGGTTTTTATGATTTTAGGTTTTACATTTAAGTCATTAATTCATTTTAAGTTGATTTTTGTATATGGTGTAAGGTAGGGGTCCGGCTTCAGTCTTCCGTATATGGCTAGTCAGTCACTACAGCACTATTTATTGAATGAGGAGTCCTTTCCTCATTTGCTTGTTTTTGTCATCTTTGTCAAAGATCAGATGGTTGTAGGTGTGCAGCATTATTTCTGGACTCTCTATTCTGTTCCATTTGTCTGTATGTCTGCTTTTGTACCAGTACCATGCTGTTTCGGTTACTGTGGCCTGTTAGTATAGTTTGAAGTTAAGTAACATAGTACCTCCTACTTTATTCTTTTGCTTAGGATTGCCTTAGCTATTCAGGCTCTGTTTGGCTTCCATATGAATTTTAAAGTAGTTTGTTCTAGTTCTGTAAAGACTGTCAGTGGTAGTTTAATGGGAATAGTGTTGAATCTATAGATTACTTTGAGCAGTATGGCCATTTTAATGATACTGATTCTTCCTATCCATAAGCATGATAATTTTTTCCATTTGTTTGTGTCATCTCTGATTTCTCTGAGCAGTGTTTTGTAGTTCTCCTTGTAGAGGTCTTTCACCTCCATAGTTAGCTGTATTCTTAGGTAATATGTGTGTGTGTGGAAATTGTGAGCGGGATTATGTTCCTGATATGGGTCTTGGCTTGGGTATTCTTTGTGTATAGGAATGCTGCTGATTTTTATATGTTGATTCTATTTTTTTATCCTGAAACTTTGCTGAAGTTGTTTATCAGCTGAAGGAACTTTTGGGCCAAAATTTGGAGATTTGGGGTTTTCTGGACACAGGATCATATCATCTGCACACAGGGATAGTTTGACTTCCGCTCTTCCTCTTTGAATGCCCTTTATTTCTTTCTCTGGCCTAATTGCTCTGGTCAGGACTTCCAATACTATCTTGAATAAGAGTGGTGAGAGAGGGCCAGACACAGTGGCTTATGCCTGTAATCCCAGCACTTTAGGAGGCTGAAGCCGGCAGATCACAAGGTGAGGCTATCAAGACCATCCTGGCTAACGTGATGAAATCCAGTCTCTACTAAAAATTAAAAAAAAAAAAAATTAGCAAGATGTGGTGGCACGTGCCTGTAGTCCCAGCTACTTGGGAGGCTGAGGCAGGAGAATCGCTTGAACCTGGGAGGCAGAGGTTTCAGTGAGCTGAGATCGTGCCACTGCACTCCAGCCTGGCGACAGAACGAGACTCCATCTCCAAAAAAAAAGCAGTGGTGAGAGAGGACATCCTTGTCTTGTGCTGGTTTTCAAGAGCAATGCTCCCAGCTTTTGCCCATTCACTATGTTTTTGGGTGTGGGTTTGTCATTGATGGCTTTTATTATTTGAAGTATGTTCCTCCAGTGCCTAGTTTACTGAGTTTTGTTTAGTTTTTTTTTTTTTGGAGATGGAATCTCTCTCTGTCATCAGGCTGGAATGCAGTGGTGTGATCTCGGCTCACTGCAACCTCCGCCTCCCAGGCTCAAGTGATTCTCCTGCATCAGCCTCCTGAGTAGCTGCGACTACAGGCTCGTGCCACCGTGCCTGGCTAAGTTTTCATTTTTAGTAGAGATGAGGTTTCACCATGTTGACCAGGATGATATCAATCTCCTGACCTTGTGATCCATCTGCCTCAGCCTCCCAAAGTGCTGGAATTACAGGCGTGAACTTAGCATTTTTAACATGAAGTGCTGTTGAATTTTATCAAAAGACTTTTCTGCATGATCATGTGGTTTTTGTCTTTCATTCTGCTTTATGTTATGAATCATATTTGTTGATTTGTATATGTTGAACTAACCTTGCATCCCAGGGATAAAGTCTACTTCATTGTGGTACATTAGCTTTTGATGTGCTGCTGTATTTGGTTTGTTATTATTTTATTAAGGATGTTTGCATCTGTCTTCATCAAGAATATTGACCTGAAGTTTTCTTTTTTTGTTATGTCTCTGACAGGTTTTAGTATCAGGATGATGCTGGCCTCATAGAATGAGTTGGGGAGTCATCCCTTCTCCTCAATATTTTTGGAATAATTTTAATAGGAATACTAACAGCTCTTCTTTATACATCTGGTAGAATTCAGCTGTGAATCCATCTGGTCCCGGGCTTTTTTTGGTTGGTAGCTTCTTATTACTGACTCAATTTCAGAACTCATTATTGGTCTGTTTAGAAATTCAGTTTCTTTCTGATTCAGTCTTGAGAGGTGTATGTGTCCAGGAATTTATCCATTTATTCTAGATTTTCTAGTTTGTGTGCAAAGGTATTTATAGTAGTATTAGACTGATTTCTAGGGGAAGTGAAGGGACCTCTGTGGCACCTCTGACCTTTCTGAGGCTTCTTTTAGGTCTAAAGTTCTTGCTACATTTTTGTTTTCTTAGTATATACATATATTTCCATAGTTGAAATTGTTGTGAAACTAGCTTTTGAATTAAACTTTTGTTATACTGTTAACAGAACCTATGTACAAACACAAAGCATATGTACATAGTAACATGTTACTATATACGTTACTATGTGTACAGTATACATATGTTACTATGTATATAGTATATATCATACACATACATATGCTGTGCCTGTGTGTATACACACACATATGTAACTTGTGCATATATTTTTAGAGACAGAGTCCTGCTCTGTCATCCAGGCTGGAGTGCAATGGTGCAATCATAGTTCATTGCAGCTTCGAACTCCTGGCCCCAAGTAATCCTCCCCCTTCAACTCCCCAAAGCACTGGAATTACAGGCCTGTGCCACCATGGCTGTTACAATTTTTACTTTAAAACTAATAGTATTTAAGTAGCTACATATTATTCCTTTATACAGTT